ACCTATCATCAGATGGTAGTGCTAAACACGAACTAGTAGTGAAAGACAGCAGTGGTGGTAATCTTGCAGTTAGACAACTTTCTGAAAGCCGAACAACAACAGCTTCTGATGTACCGCTAAGTTCATCAACTGGTATCAATCAGTTGTCGTTGGTGTTGTCATCCACAATGAAAAAGACGCTTATCAACTCAAGTACCTTGTGAAATGACTACGAAAGCATTGATGCATTTGAAAAGACGAAAGATATTGTTCAGTTTAGAGAGGATAAGCACAGTGTAAACGAGAGAGTAATTGTTAAATTGACTTGCATGAATAAAGGCATTTCTAATTTCAAATTATTCTTTGAATGCTATTATCTTTGGTGTAAATTACTCTGTTTCTACACTTGGTTGACCAGATACGTCGTGTGTTTCTTCGTCATTTATATTCTACGATACAATGACATGAGCGTGTTACCGTTCAGATTTGAGGATATAGCTGATAGAAAGAAGTCAGCAAATGAACTCTTCGACGATTTTCCAACCTAGTGCGTCAACCTAAGGAGGGTTGTAGGCGTACTGCTGTAAGTCCTACAATTCTTCAAAGGGTAGCGCATCAATGAGCAGTCCAATGTGCTTGGTGTGTGATTTTGTACATATGTTCATATTGTATGTACTGAATTGATATCATCTGTCATCTAGCTGTTGGTAATTCTGTTTGTGTCCGGACGACTTACACTTGGATCATCAACCTGAGAAGGAATGTAGGCGTACTGCTGTAAGTCCTACAGTTCTTCAAGGGTAGTTTGTCAATCCACAACATTTGATGTGTTGATTGTACATATGTTTGTGTTAAATAATTGTGTGAGTTCCAATTATTGTAATTGTTGGCTAATCTTGTTTGTGTCCGGACATTCTTCAACTCACAATCGTCAACCTGTGAAGGGTTGTAGGCGTATTGGTGTAAGTCCTGCAATTCTTCAAAGTAATCCCATGTAGACACGATCTGCGAGTTTGTGTGTGCTGTTTGTATATATGTGTGGTGTGTCATATCAATTGGTGTTTTTGGATTCACTGTGTTTACTTGTTGTTTTCGTATCTTGTCGTTATTGCATAATTTTGTTAAAATTTCCGTCGTGATTACTTCTGAAGTTGTGTCCACACTTCTGCATCCGTGAATGAACTAATTGATGTTAAGGACAGCAGATGGGTCGTATACGCCGGGGAGGCTAGGCTATTGCTGAGAATGGAATGCACACGGAGATAATTGTTAGCTGCGGTCCCACACGCCGGGGAGAAAGAGTGTAAACGACTGAGGCTCGCATGCGTCACCGCTACTAGAACTGAGGCAGAATGAGTGACAAGCGATTGCAGTGGTAATTGGTAGTGAGTGGATAAGAGGATGTGCGAAGAGTATCATGAGTTGGTGCTATGGTCACGTTGCATTCTGCACGAGCCATTCTAGCAAGTGGCGATTGTGTTGCAAGATGTCAAGAGGAGGTCTCTGTCTGGAGGCGCAGGTCGTCATTGATGTGTGAGATTGTGCTGTGAGTATACTTGTGGTGTGTTGGCTTTTCTGTTTGTTTTCCATTTCAGTTCTGTCCGTGTGACCCAGGTTCTCGCAATGGCATCCAAGTCAACGTGTGTTGGTCGTGATGGAAAATACGAATGGATCCCTTTTTGCCGGGGAGTGTCAATGGAGTTGAAGATTGAACGATCAATTCTTGGTTGTTTGCTCAAACCCAGTTCCCCCATATTATTCGCGGGAGTCATCAATACGGCCATCATCGTCTCATCGTTCCCTGTTCGGTGGTATTGAGAAAACTATCAGAAGTATTATCGTGATTTACTTTTATAACATTTATTCTTAAACTTTTTGTGCAGTAACTTGACGGTTGGCACTGTAGTGGTGCCGGAAGAATTAGTTCTTGAATCATCAATATGCGTTCTGGTTCTTCATATTATTTATTAAGCATAGTTTTTGAATGTCTTCGGGTACAGAGTGATATCGAGATCAGTAAGACTTGGAAATTATCACCATATATCCGGCCAGGTTTGTGTTTCTATGTACATTTTTGAGATTTTTGGCTGTAGTAAGGAAATATCAGGACCACCATATTCACCGAAATGCGATGAAATAACGTTGGTGTCTAAATCTTGAGAGCTCCTTAGGGTCCCAGGGGCCTGGCTAATGTCAGCAAAAGTGATCTCATCGGTATTAATTGGTTTTGGTGTGAGTAATTAGAGGTTATGCCATATTGGTGGGGTGCATACAGATTGATAGGGCTGTAGGCTGCAGGTAATTATCTTCTGTTTTGCTGAATAATTCACACATGTCTGTAGAATCACTCTGCAGCCTACCTTTGTCTATGAGGAGGGAAATGCTGTAGTTTTTGCGATTCAGTTGCCTCTTCAGGGTTTCTGTGAAAGTATACACCCTAGCAGCGGTGACTAGTGCGGTGCGGTCTTTATTTCTAATACGCAAATCTCGAACTTGATACAAGTTAACAATAGTGATATGTATTATGACCATAGTGCGAATGCATTTTGTCTTAAAATGAAGAGTTGACTGTTATGAGTACATGAAAACTGAAATTTGGCTATGAATACCAGCAACTACCGAACCAATTCAGACAACAGCGTCTCAATAAATAGGCTGAATATACCACTATGATTCCATGAAAATTGAAAGATACACGTTTAAATTTCGAACTTCCTGTCTTATTTAATCCATCACACCACGCGGATATCAGTATCAAGAGACATTTCATGATTCAAGTGTAGCTGACGTAACGCGGTTCAATTAAATTATACCGCCGATTTTATGTGAGTCTGAAATGTTTTCAATGCAAAATTTAGTTTAGAAAGCATATTAAAAATATAACTCGTACTCTGATAACATAGCAACGGGCGTAAACGCTACAATTAACAGGGATATGCGATAAAGCAACTCTATCGTTAGGCTAGTAGATCCGCTGTGTATGACGCGATCAACGCAATCAACCTTGAACTGAGTAAAGTGCATTGATTAGGGATAGTTCACGAAAAAGTGAATGTAGCAAAACAGCTTGCTGAATTGCGAAAGTGTTTATATTAGTATCACCAGTCTAAGAAGCACATTAAAACGGTGAATCTTAGCCCTGAACGCATGAACTTTATAAACCATTAAGTCGATAATTCGCCGATGTAGTTACCGCTGCAGCATTTTGACAAATAAATATGGACTTGATTCACCTTCCCATCCAATGATACCGACTTCGAACCACTCAGACGACAGAGGTAGAGAGTTAGAAAACCAATGAGCAATTATGTAGCTGCAAAATACTGATTCCACTGCAGTCTTTAGGCCATGCAGACATGAAATTATGCCCACCCATTCGACTAACTTGCCTCGGTTGAGAACAGGCAAGATTAAATTCTTAGTAGGAGGGAAGTATAAGTCCTAAGCCCTAAAAGCCCAGCCAAAAGTTTCTATTTGAATTACTTAATGTCTCAGGCTTGAGTATAGTAGCAACCTTGAATATGTTATTTAGTGATTATTTGCCGATATATTTTATTGAACTTACAACTTTTTAATTCATTTGCATTTATTCTTCGTCAAAAAATGTTTGTGAGTGTGGTCTATACAAACAATACGTCACAGAATCTGCATGAAGTTAGCGTCTATTTGGCGCACTTCTCAAAAAGTAGTGTTTAGTTCCGCTGGTGACAAGTCAGCACTACTTCCTCACAGATTCGCATCTAGTCTGTCTTCACCAAGTTTAGTCAAGAATATGAGTGTCCTAAATGGGCAAAATGATATTGATTCTCTGCGCGCAAAAATTCGGGAACAGGTGAGTCTCTTTGGCTCAGCGTCATTCCACTAGGGTGACCTTGTGAAACGACTCAAAGAGGAAAATGCACCTGATAATGTACTGAAAGAGACTATTTCAATCTTAAAATCTTACAAAAAGGCTCTGGATGATAAGGTTTGACCTTTAGTAATTCTCATTTGTTGTAGGAAATTGAATTGTCTCCAAAAGATCCTTTATTCGACCGTGCTAAACTAGAAGACCTTCTGAAACAAAAGTTCTTTTATGATCAGGCGTTTTCAATTTATGGAGGTAAGTGGAAACTTTCAAAGCCTGTCTTGCGTGTATTACACTGCTCAGAACTCAGAACACACTACATCCCAAGTTGCATTTCTTGGATTCATCTACATTGTCATTTTCAAAAATGTTTTCAGGTGTACAAGGGCTCTATGATTATGGCCCAATGGGTTGCGCAATGAAAGCTAACTTACTATCTGCCTGGCGACAGTTCTTTATCTTGGAAGATCATTTGCTAGAAGTAGATTGTTCAATGCTGACACCGGAGCCAGTTCTACAAGCGTCTGGACACGTTGATCGCTTCACAGACTTAATGGTTAAAGACGTCAAGACGGGTGATTGTTTCCGTGCAGACCACCTAGTGAAGGCAGCACTTGAAGCCAAAAAAAGTAACAAGAAGACTCCCGAGAATGAAAAACAGGAAATTGATCAAATACTGACCCAGGTAATAGCTATAGTTTTGCAAGCAGAGTTTATATATTTCGTAGTCACTTGATAGTGTTTATCAGGGGTACCAACTTTCTCCCAATATTTGTGAATAGAGAGGAATTCATATGAGCACTTCGTATGACTTAGAAGTCTTAATATGACTGCCACTCGATGAAATTAGTTTGACAAGCAGGACGTTCGTAAATGAAAGTCCTCGTTGATTCATATTTCTTTTAAAATAGTGGGAAATCATGTCGACAGCAGCCCACCTATAGTGGTTAATACAACTCGTGAATTATCAGTATAACTAAGACGTTTGACTGACGGCTGGGAACTGCGAGTTATACAACTAAGAATCAATCATGATAACGTAGTTGTGTTCTCACCTTTTCATGGTAGTTATAATACCGTGTCTCATTATGACATTGTCGTGTTTTTGTCTTAAGTCAACACTAGCTTTCCCATAGAAGGGTTTGATCTCAGCGTGACCCAGCCATCTTGATTCGCAGTTTTAACATTCAAAATATGCGGTAAACTTTTGCCCACATTCACGTCTGAAAAATCAAACCTTATATATGACGTAATTATCTGCGATGTATTTAAATGAAGTATTTTCTTCTGACAGTAATGCTAATGCACACGTAGACGACTTTTTATCCATAGGATAAGCGATCTGACGTCTAACTTATTACACAGCTTATTTTCCACCTTGATTTTTCTACTTATCTATGAGTTACACACACTGAGAGTTATTTTGTTAGTTTTCTGTGAATCGCTGCAAATTCAGTTGTTGGCATGCAGTTTGCGATAATAATCGTATGGTCTTGTCTTCTCAAAAGTATTTGTAAAACATTCTTAAATATAGTCTTATATATTTGATAACCTGTTTGCACTTTAGTTGGATAATTATGGAGCCGATGAGCTAAACAAAATTATTCGTCGTTTCGACATGAAGTCACCGACTACGGGAAATGACTTAACAGAACCTCAGGAATTTAATCTGATGTTTTCCACGATGATTGGTCCTACAGGTCAATGTAAAGGGTAAGTTATTTGCATGTACTTTTTGTTATGCACTAAGAATAGCTAGTAAAGTTAGGGTCGATCTCAGGAGTTTGTTGTATTATTATTTATGGTTGACCATAACCTTCAAGTCAGAGTTTTTTAGACGTACATCTTGAACACTGATATAATAGTCTGTATAATCATTTGCCAACATTTCAGCACAATTACAACTTCTTGTTTCACTATATTACCCAAGATGAAATAGGGGTATAAAATAGACGTAAACAGAAGTGAAAGTGGGATTCTGACTTGTTCGATCTTTAGCGCTAAATTGTGGGTAGATCCAGTTTCCACTTTTGTTGGAACGAGAATCAAGCGACGACTAAATCATCATATATGTCCAAACCAAGTTTACTTTTAACGATTTGAAAAAATTTGGGCATTGGGTATATGATGTTCATTATAATAGAGGTTTTCTTATTTCCCAATGAATGAAAAACAAAAAAAACAATATCGTTTTGTTTTTCATTTATTGGGAAATACAAAAACCTCTATTATAATGAACGGCTAAATCATCACTGTATTCTAAGGTACGTCAGTGGGGAAAACTAAAAACCTTAGTCTTAGAGTTGTAAACATTTACAGTGTATTTTACCGGGAGTGAATGATGTTTCAGGCTAACACCAGTAAAACCTGGTACTGTTAACTTGAAACGTTATCGTTCTCCCTATAAATGAATGTTTCCAACTCCATGACCAATCAAATTCTATTGTCAGTCTTCTAATCTGGCAGTAAAACATGCAAAACAATCTAACAAGAGCTGTAGCACTACTAAAAAGCCTGGTCCTGTTGATTTGAATATCATGCCTAGCTCAAGTAATTTCTGTTTCAAAGTGAATACGGCTAATCATATTGAAGGAAGTGCTAGAACAAACTGTACTAACAATTCTAAGGTTGATAAAGCGCTAATCTTAATTAGTTATAGGCTTCTGTGTGTAGCTGATACTGAAGTTAGGAGACCAGTATCTTGTAAATTGAATGAAAACTTCCTTAATACAAAATAGTGAATTTTCAAATCCTAAAATACCATATAAAATAGTTTATTTAGCTCGCATAAGATAGCGAGTGCACATACAATGCTTCAAAATCATAATATGCACCAAATCTCTCATTTTAAATTATGAAATAATCGTATTTCTAAGTGAGAGACGAATATACTACACTTCTAACCAAGTTACTCTGTGTCCCACACGATATATTTGGTTTTTGACCCCAATCACCTGGATTACAGCAGTCTAATCAAATACCTAACCATCAAATCAATTTGCCAGTAAGTCGAAGTCATATGAAATAACCACATCACTTACAGAATTTAAGTTCACTTTGCTTAGAAAACACAACCACATCATAAACATGTAACCGAACTACAAATTTTATTTTTTTAATTTTTATTTTTTTTTTAATTTTTTTAATTTTTTTTTTAATTACAGCTTGACTCCACACCGTATTTTTGGTACAAGTGTGGAATTTTCAGCGTGGATATCGGTAGCCCAAAATTCGCAGGTCGACCATAGATATCAGGCGTGCGTCGGAGTGGGCTCGAACCCCAGACCATGTGCATGGTCGGCGAGAGTCCTAACCACTGTGCCACCGACGCCACGTTATGTAGAAGTTTCTATATATCAATTCACAGAATCAGGTAGTGGAACTTATCATCGTAACAAAAAGTAGGCTCAGTTACTAATTCAGTATTTAAGTTGATCAACTGGATTGTAACTTTCTTAGCAAACAAATGTAGCCCTAAAATGAAATCTCATATTTGATCTGCTAACGATAAACATGACTAACCACATTCTTGTGGCTTTTACTACTCGTACATCATACTACCAAATATCACATCAGGGAATTTAACTTATCATAAATGAGTTCAAATAAATATGTGAACAGCAAGTTCATAATATACGATAGACTACAAATTTTCCAAAAAAGCCAGGCTAGAAACTAGATAACGTGGTTGTTTAACTGATTGTTTTTTTAAAGACCAGTCATACAACAGCAATTAAGTTATATGTACGATGCTTATAAAGTAAAAAAAAAGCAACACTAAAATAACTGTTTCTGCGAAACATTTTCGAATGTTTGGTATGCGATTTACTCTTTTCACATGTAAGATACTGCTTCAGGACGAGTGCACTGACTCCTAGCTTAAAGGTAGGCGGTGAGTTGGTAGAGCATGTTGACCACTTCACTTCCTATTGGACTAATCAGTAACAAAATCGCATTACGAATAAGAAAAGCTCGTGTGTCATTTGCCAACTTACGTCATCTCTGGCGTAGATGTGATATCTGCCTATCGATCAAAATGAAGTGTTCACTGTACATCAGTTCGCCCCGTCCTCCTTCATGGTTGTGAGACATTTTTTTCCTTTACGTCCCCAGGAAAACATAGGGCTTCAAGCTAAAGGCTTGAAGGTTCTGTAGCAGGGTGATTATTTTCACAGGATGGGGTTGATAGCCTCGTGCCAAACCTCCCCTCTTAACCAGTCTTATTACTGGCTTACCTAGGTAAAGGAGTGCGTCGGCTGGGGATCGAGTCCCAGACCACTTGCGTGGTCGGCGAGCACTCTACAGCTGTGCCACCGACGCGCAGGGTTGTGAGATGTAGCCACTGAAAATAGAAGATATGTAAAGATTAGCTGTCTTTGAACACAGATGTTTTCACCCTACCTCCTATGTTAAATGGTATAATGTAGTGAGTAATACTAAGGTCACCCGTAAAGCGTTAGGTAAAGATGATAAGTCAGTGAATGAGTTCGTGAAGGTGAATTGATTGAGATAGCTAAGACACGTGTTGCGCATAAAAACCTGGCATCAGTCATTAAGTCTCTGACATTTACTTTGAACCAAGTAGGTAGGTGTAGACTGTCTAGTTAGGATCCTCAGGATGCCCGGAACCAGTGGCTTGAAACTGTTGATGAAATGGCTCAAAATCATTCTCAGTGAGGCGGATGCATTCACTCTTTGGGGTTTGCCATATGCACTCAACTGTTATTTTTGTTTCCTTCTGCCTGTTATTTCTTCCGGGCATTTCTGCTTATTATAGTTCTCTTGAAACTTTTATATATCTTTCCGGGCTGTATGTAGTGTGGTAACCTGAACTGCTGCACTTCTCTGCTGAGTTCTATGTTGAAAGTCAGTCAGTTAGTCTGTGTAAAATCTTTAAAACATGTGAAAGATAACCTGTCAAAATTAATCGTATTAGGTTACTCTGCTTCCAGATCACAAAAATAATTCGGAACCATTAATCTTGCTAATGATTAATTAATTTTTATTATCTAGTTATCTTCGCCCGGAGACTGCTCAGGGGATATTCGTTAATTTTCAAAGGCTGTTGCATTTTAACCAAGGTCGTCTTCCTTTTGGAGCTGCACAGATTGGTTCAGCCTTTCGAAACGAGATTAGTCCACGTTCTGGATTGATTCGTGTGCGTGAATTTACCATGGCTGAAATAGAATACTTTGTGGATCCTACTGATAAAAGTCATTCCAAGTTTAAAGAGGTGAGGGATACAAAAATGTTATTATATTCAGCATGTGATCAAATGAGCGGTGAAGGGCCTAGAACAATCACTATCGGAGAAGCAGTCGACAAGGTAAGCTAAGTTTCTAAATAATTTTCGTATCTTTTGTTTGATCATTTTTAATATTATTTTAATATTTTTTAATATTACTTGTACAATCCACAATTGGTCAGGCAGAAGTAGGTGAGGCAGGACTCGAACCCGGGAATGAAAGTCGAGTGGTTAAGCCAATGCGCCACATCTTCACCGACTTCAAATAAGGGGTATATTTTGCTTATGGAGGCTTAACTAAAGCTTTCATGCATATAACATGTTACTAGCTAGTGTGTGGGAGATAGTCAGTTACTAAAGTTCGACACCTCATAATTTCTTCATCGTAGCATCGATTGTAGTTTATCACTTTATAGATGAGTCATAAGCCTAATTAGGTGAGAAATAGGTAACCACCTGAATTGTTCGATGGTCATATCAGTCACGTAAAAAATTGACTTTTGATCAATACTGAGATTTTCAAAGTGTTGATTAAAGAGATATACTGGTCTTATACATCTAGGTGACTACCTACAAATATAAAATGTTTTCCATTGTTTCATCTCATCCCATTGTGTTTCACTTTTAATTTGCAGGGCATTGTTGCAAACCAAACATTAGGCTACTTTATGGCCCGTATACATTTATTCTTAGTTCATATTGGAGTAGATTCAAAACGTCTACGTTTTCGACAGCATTTGTCAAATGAGATGGCTCATTATGCCTGTGATTGTTGGGATGCTGAATGTCAAACAAGTTATGGTTGGATTGAATGTGTTGGTTGTGCTGACAGAAGTTGTTATGACTTAAATCAACATAGCAAGGCAACAGGTACTCGTTTAGTGGCTGAAAAACGATTAGATGAACCTGTAAGTATAATTTTTTACGTAGTATTTTTCTTTTTGTCACATATAATTTTGACCTTTTTTTGTTTCATTTTCAAAAGTAAATAAGGTAGGCTGTAATTTCAAGGTTGACATCAACAATTAGTCTGTTAAACAGCTTAAGGAAGTGATTAGGGACAGCCAACGTGATGGAGTATATTTTTATTTTACTCTCATACCAGGTCGGTTTGTTCGTTAGATAATGTCTCAATTATTAATTATTGTCTATGTTCATATCAAGCTAGTTATAATTTATGTAGTCTCTGACTTTATATTTTCTTAGTTTCAGTCGTGGTGGATATTTTCCATAAATTCTGAATGATTGTTAAATCATTCCTATTGTACATGTTTATTCAATTAACACCAAGTTCTTTTGTTATTTGATCAATATTCTACAAATGTGGACTGTAAATTGTACTCCAGATTATCGCTGAGTAGGTGCTAATATAACTGATATAAAAATATGATAGTAATACTCTAGTCTGACTAGTAAACATTACATTGAGACAAGCTGTTGATATAAGTATAAAACTTGGGCACTGTGGTAGAGTATAACTCCATTATGGATAAGATTTTATTTTGATTAGTTTTACAGTGTTATACAGTAATATTAACTGATGACGTTTCGGGCACAAACTATCGCTCATAATCATATCAAGTCACTCACATGTTTTGCCTTCATTTATATGTGTGTGGAATCAATTAGATATTGAAATAAAAATCAGTATAGGATAATGTACATTCAGAAATAATAATAATATGAGTGTTATCAATCAAATACAATCAAATGAGTAATAAGACGAATGTCTTTATAGTCATAATAAGTTACTTGTTAGAATGTTGTGATGTGTTTGAAATGGAATAGAATTTTAAGATTATTTATTATCCTCCTCTGATTTGACTGGCGGTAATAATATCTTCCATATTCCTGGTATTTGCATTCATTCATTTCTGTTGCATGTGTTGTGTGGGATGTAGACTCAATGAACCAGGATTCAGTAATCAATCTCTCTCTCTCCACCTATATAGATTACTTTTTAGAATCTTAACCCTCTCCCATCCTATTGTGTGGTTGTGCATTAATGTATGTATTGCAATTGCTGAGCTTTTTTCTAAATTACTTATCTTCTCGGGGTCAACCATTCTTACCTTAGCTAAATTCCTATGTTCTGACAGGCAGTCTGACTACCCCTGATCTACTAGTTTGACCGATATAGTTGACGTCACAGTGATTGCAGGGTATTTTGTAAATTATCTTATTGCGTTTAATTGGGTTCAACGGGTGTTTTAGCCTTCAGAGCTTGTCTCTAAGATAAGCTGTGACTCACTGTATACCTGGAGTTCCGTTCAGTGTAATCTCTCACTGAATGATTCAATTATTTCATTTAGAATTCTCTTCATAACTTTACAGTCTTGTATCCTTATGAAAACACTTTTTGATACCTTGTTGATGCAAACTTTAAAATTTTTATTATTGTCTGATTCCAGTCAGTATTATTTTTGTGATAAATATAGTCAAACATGACTTTATATTGTATTGTATTTATTCAACCTTAGCAAACTGTACAAATATGTGAATGTGTGCCTAACAAAGGTGAACTTGGGAAAGTGTTCCGTGGAGATGCTAAAGCAATTATACAACAGTTGAGCTCACTTACACTTGATGAATCTCTTTCTATAAAGAATGAGTTAGAAAAAAATGGGTTAGTTTTTTTCTAATTCAATGTGTATTTTAAAACATTTATAATTGAACTTGTTGTCATTTCTAGTAGTGCGAGCTTTATTACTTTGATGTTGTGTAATAATGTGAGGGTAATAATAATTTGCTTTACTCCAAAGCAGTACTTATGATACAGCGTTGAATTCTTAGCACTTCGTACAATATTGTTTCTAATTTACTCAAAAGCAAAAAAAATCACTACAGGGCATAGGTGTAACCAAAGTTGATAATAACAACTTTTTGATATTAGCAGTAACGATAAAGTCAAAATGTATGTAAAGTGTAAAATGATAATTGTAATGTCAGTAACTAAAATTACAAGATAATTGAAATAGTGTCACCATAAGTTACAAACAGGAGAAGATAAAAGAGCCGTTGTTTTTCTTAATAGGTTGTAAGTTTCATGCTTAACACTCTATCACATAGAATGTAGGCCAAATAGGGTATCGTTGAGTTTTTTTTTACTTAGGTTGTGCTAGTCCTACCTGGTGCGATGCCAGAGGACAGTTGTGATGAATAGAGAAGGTGTATGAAAGTCGGACGAAATGGATGTAGACTATTTCTCACATGAACTTTTCTTTTAGTCGGTCACACTCGACAGAAGTACCACGATGTCTATGTTAGATGGTGTCAACAGAAAACCTTACTAGCGTCATATTTTACTCATTGACTTTGAAAGGTATCTTGTAGGTATGACTTGGTTAGCATTCTGTTGTTATCTAATCATGTCGATGAATTGTACGAATATTTTAAGAAGTTATATCTTCTTGGCAATAGGATAGGCAAGTTTGATTCATTCATGGCGAAAGTAGATATGATGATCACACTTACCACTACTACTGACTTTAAAAGGTTGCATAAAACCCTTTTCGTCAACTGAAATCCTAATCTTTTGCACACTTATATCCAATTGCGAAGAGTTTCATGATTGCCTACTGCGCCTTGATATGGCCGAATTGCTGATTAATTAGTCATTTCTCCACTTCAGTTAATCAAAACTCAGCAGTATAAGTATGGAGTGTTGCATTATAACAAGTAGGTTGCTGCTGTATCCCATGGTATTTAACTGTATATTGCCTTCTTTACAACATAATTCATACTTTGTAAGTTTTTCCCATTAAACAATAATAGACTGGCTATTTGAGTCTCTTAGTTGTGTGTGATATCCACTAAGTGATCTACAACGGAAAACTTAGCGAAGCGTTCAAAGTGAATGCAGGAGTAAGACAAGCTGGCTGCATTTAATCACCGGATGATATTCTTAAATGTCGTGGACTGGATTATGCACCAGGCTATGGGGAGTCAGAAGACAGGAATACGTTGAACCGATAAGAATGCCATTATGGTTAAATTTTGTTTTCATAGTCCCACAGTGTTATACAGTAATTTTTACTGATGACGTTTCGAGCACAATTTATTGCTCATAATCATGTCAAGGTAATCACACGACTTCCTAACTTCATTTATATAGTTCCATTGTTTTTCACGTGATTTGATTGTTAGTAGTATTTTCCATATTTCGGGTATGAGTGATGAATCATTCCTATTGCATGTGTTGGGTGTAGATTCGATGAACCAGGGAGAATTCAGTGGTCAACCTCTCTCTCCTCCTACCTAGGTCACTTTTTAGAATTTTAACCCTCTCCCACCCTATTGTGTGGTTGTGTGTTAATGCATGCTTTTTTCTAAATTACTTATCTTCTCGGGGTCAACCATTCTTACCTTAGCTAAATCCTTATGTTCTGACAGGCAGTCTGACTACCCCTGATCTACTAGTTTGACCGATATAGTTGACGTCACAGTGATTGCAGGGTATTTTGTAAATTATTTTTCGTTTAATTGGGTCAAGAAACTCTGCAGTGGAACAAAGCAGCTAAGGGACGATTGCTCAACAAATATATGGGAGGAAATGGGGATGGGCCGGGCATACTTTGAAGAGGCCGTGGAATGACATCGCGGGCAATGCAGGCTATCACTCGAGTGGAATCCGGAAAAAAAGCGACGAATGGGTCGTCCGAGGATGACATGGTGGAGATCGTGTGAGGAGGAGATGAAAGATTATGGGCAATCATGGACCCAGCTGGAGGGGACAACAGAAAATAGAAGAAAGTGGAGATGTGCTGTTGAAGTCCTATATTCCATTTGGAACCCGAAGGGAGTAACAATAATAATAAGTGGGAATTTATTCTAGATTCTTTACGTATCAGATATTAGGGAATACTGATGAGTTATACGGCATTCACTTGTCGTTAGCACTCATCGTAGGCTTGTCACAGTTCTTTACTTTGAAGTAAAATATATCTGATACAAATTTAATCGAAATTTAACATTTAACTCATAACTAATATATTAGCTTTGCCTATGGTGATAAGAAGTCCAATGTTTCGCCAATCACTTTCTCTAAGTTTTAGGGGCTTGCTACAAGGAATCCTGCAAATTTCTACTTTGTAAACTCTTGTCCTCGTTCATTTTCTTTTGGTTTGGTAAAAAGACTAGCTGATCATTTTCCTTGTTCAACTTATATTTCTGCTCATTTTAGTAGTAAATCGATATAAATCCTCTGTGTTTAATAAATTTCCATTCCTTAAATACGCTTTGTATGAATGCTCCTGTCATAGTTGAATTGGTGGTTTGGGGGCGGAATGGCAAGGCTTGAAGTGAGGTTACAGCTAGATTTGAACGGGCATGCGGCAGAAGTAAACGGTTGCTTTGCTTTCCCATATTGGGAAGGATTTAACAACCACACTGGCATTTCTCCGTTGGTTTTTTTTATTCTTTTACGTTCCCAGTAGAACATGAGGCTTCAAGCTAGAGGCTTGAAGTTTCAGTAGCACTGATGTTTATTTTTTACAGGATGGGGTTGCTAGCCTCATGCCCAACCTCCCCAGTCTTATTATTACTGGCTTAGCGAGGCAAAGGAGTGTGTCGGTCGGGGATAGAAACCTGAACCACATGCGTGGTTGGCGAGCATTCTACCTCTGTGCCACCGATGCACTCTTTTCCCGTTGATAAGATCCAATTAGTACTCAGTTAACTTCTCGAAAATCTAAATAATGATCAGTCAGCGTTTGGCGTTCAGATCGCATGTGTTAAGCCATTTTTAATAACTTTTCAGTTACACTACAAATATACGTTGTATTAGGTAGAAATAATGGAAAAGAAGTTAGGTTGGAAAAAGTTGGGCATTAAGTCTATTTTGTCATCTGTTTACCATTATAGGATATTAAATTCCGAAGCAGACATTACAGTACTCTAACAGCTTTAAAATACGTCTATCATATTGGTAGAGCTCAGTTACTCTGCGCAGTATTTACTAGTTCCAGGCTATAAGCTACACTTACAATATGACCAACTATTCCTGCTGCCCAGTTGTCCAGGTCGAATTAGACGAGGTAGCATTCGAACCTAGGAGTCAATGACTAAAAGTTATTTCCTGAAGCCTATGAACCACATCCCAATACTTCATCTGAAATTTTTTAGATTATATGATTTTAGAGTTTAATCGGTCAGTGAACACACATTTAGGAGTGTTCTGTGTTCAACCTTGCCTTGAACAAAGTTAAGAGTGGATAAACTTCAGTAAAGGAAAGTAGCACAACATCCAACTGTAAAAGACATTATTACAAAATCTATTTATTTATTTTTTTTCATACCATCACTACATTATCGACTGACCAAAATGTATTGTTTACCTATTCATTTGTACATTACTTGATAAGGCAAGAATATTTAGGTATAAAGGTCATTTGCACATTTGTTAGATTCGTAAATTATTTGGGTTTTAGGACACAAAATAATTTGATTGGGTGAAAACCTATTGGGCGATATTTAGATTGTTTATGAATATACCTTAAAATATATTGATTTTAACTTAATACATATTCGTTTTGATTATTTAGAAGCAAATATATGTAGTTTGTGCGTCGGTGATTCATTCAGTAGGATGCCTGCCAACTAACCACACACGTGATCCGGGGCTCGATATCCAGTCGACGCACTCTTAAATCTCACTAAGCCAGTAGTAAAGTCTCGGTACGGAGAGAAGGTTGGGCCTAAGACTAGCAACCTCATTCGGTAAAAATAAACACAACTGATAGTGAAACTTCTCTAAATGATGTCGATCCCTTGTGAAACTTAAAATAATTCAGATGCCTACAAACTAACTCTCGAAAATATGTAGTTATCACTTTTGTAATTATAATAGTTAGGAACTAATATCTGTGAGATATACACGTGGTCTGACGGACTGCTATTAATCATGACTCTGTTATATGTAGTTTTGATTCATTTAAAATGTTAATTCACTTTATCTGTTTTTTTTTAAATAATAAATAATTGATTTTTTATCATTTTTTTATGTTTGTTCCCCTGTAATTAGAAAAGTTACATTAACTGTCAATGGTAAGCAACTGGATGTCACTCAGTCAATGGTTCAAATGAAAGAATACGAAAATGTTTTACATGGTGTGTAAACATTTTTCCAATATACAATATTAATATCATTATCAATTTGCCGTATCATTTGTGTATGATTGTCTAAAGTATTGGTCTCATTCATTCTTTTCATAGTATTAATTCTTTTTTTGCACATTTAAATTGCAATGATATAAACATTGGACAGTGGTTTCTCTCGTTTGGTGCCCAGCTTATCAGTAGTTATATGCAAATGAATATAGTTTAGGGAGCCGAGTTATCATTTATTTCAAGTTTTTAAATGATTCGTCATTTCAACTACATTAATTATTCATCAAAACCCATAATTTTATTTCGATTACTACTTTGTGGCTCAGTTGGCTTAAGCTTTCAGCCTATGGGTCACGGGTTCGAGCCCCTTGTCCACCTACTTCCACCTGATCAATTCTAGGTAGTATCACCAGTCCTCACACAGGATAAGTTTGGCTCTTAGCCTGGTACATGAAACATCTGTTCCGGGTAACTGAAGCTAAATAAACTACTGTATGAAAGATGTAATTATGAGTTAGAGTTGTGTTCAGAGTGGCTATTTGTATCTTGTTTTGAATAATCCTGTATTTTATCGAAGTATTTAAGAGATGAGCTGTTTTTCAAGACCAATAATTCAATAAATAGAATGCTTGCTAATCACCCACATGTTCTAGCATTCAATTCCTGGTCGACTCACGCTTAAACCTTGTCTAGTTTACTCGCTGAATAGTAAGCTGATATGTATCCACATATATATATTTATGTGTGTGTGTGTATGTTGGTCTCTCTTTCTGTTTGCTCTCTTAGTCTGTGACCATTTCACTTGTATGAACTTGTCTCCTTTAATAATGTGTATTCTCTTATAAAGTTATATTTGTAAAATCTCAGCGAAATTGAAATGATTAATTCCAACGTTTCGTTCGGCAATCTGGTCCGAACTTCTTCAGGGAAATTAATCGAAATTAACATAACAAAGTTTATATATAAAGGGACACATCTTGTTTTTAAAATTCTTGTCCAATCATCAGTCATGCAACAGGTATCAACAAGTATCATAAATAAATAAAAATAAATGCATGTTTATACAAAAGTACAGTCAATAGGTATGCTAAACAAAACAAAACAAAAATTGTATGAACTGTGATCAAAACAATTTTGGACCTCAGACTTTCAAAATTTGTCTACTTTTGTTAAAATATATGTGTGTATGCAGTATATGCAGGATACAATGGTGTGTGTGGGTGGAACAGTCATAAAACATTTGCTATTCTCATATGAGCTGTGATCAAGATTTGACCGGATAGATACAAAAAATTGACATTTTTATAAACATAATTTAATTTTTATAGATTTGTTATTCTCTCCATAAGAAGACGTAGACAGTCGGGAATTTGACTAAGTGTGACTACTTGATCATACATATCAAATTTTACTTTGTTTATTAGTCAGGATTTGCCATGCATCGGCTAACATCACACCTTCACGTCTGTTTAAACTGTTGGGATTCACCCATATATGTAGGGCTTCTGTAGTTAGTCTTTCTTGATATGAGCCAAAACCTTTTTGTAAAACCTTAGTCTTATCAAAGTCGATTTTGTGTCCTGTTTCTATTGAATGTAGCGCAATCGCTGAGTTGTTTTCTAGCTTCTTCAAGTCTGCAGAGCTCTTTGGAACCACCTTTAGACATTGTTTATGCTCTTTCATTCTTATATTTACCTGTCTAGAAGTTTCTCCTACATATACTGCGTTACAATCCCCACAATTGATCTGGTATACGCAATTCTGCTGGTTTTCTTGTTCTATTTTATCCTTAACCTTCACCAGCAATGAACGTAAGGTGTTAGATGCACGAAAGTACACTCTTATGTTGTGTTCGTTAAGGATTCGCTTTATTTCATCGGATGTTTCTTTGCGGTAAGGAACCACCGCTGTACTAACCCAATTCTTAGCAGCAGGTTTTGATTCATCCTTATCTTCACATTTTAAGTATCTCTTTATGAAGGCTTTAGGATAATTATTTGACTCAAGAGTGGATTGAACTAATTTTAGTTCCTCGTTAATATCTTCCTCCTCAGTAACTAGACGTTTGGCTCTGTTGATCAGATTCTTGGCCACAGTTACTTTGGTGGTAAATGGGTGAGCTGAATGGTAATCTAGGTATCTATCCGAATTTGTCGGCTTTCTGAAAATGTTTATTTTAAATTTTCCGTCTAATTTTCTTTTTACTAAACAGTCCAGAAACGCCAACTCATTTTCATCGGATTCAACCTCTTTGGAGAACTTAATGGTTTCTGACATATTGTTTATTAACTGAAAAAGTTCATTTAACAAACTACGTTTGATTATGATGAAGGTATCATCTACGTATCTTAACCACATCTTTGGGGGACTAAGGCATCTCATAATTGCATTTGTTTCTAATGAGTGCATAAACAGATTGGCGACTAGCGGAGATACTAAAAAAAAAAAAAAAAAAAAAAAAAAAAAAAAAAAAAAAAAAAAAAAAAAAAAAAATAACGTGGATCTAAGACACAATTCTAATACCTTCATAATTTCGTCGGGATTTAAAGGACAACGATCACTGAGTTCGTCGTCAGCACAAAGTAAATTATAAATAATACTTAAAGAATCATTAACGGGTACATTCGTGAATAATGAATAAACATCGAAACTTGCCATTATTTCATCTTCTTCAATATTAGTCAAATTTATTTTCCCCTTAAATTCATACGAATTTTTCACTCCATGTTCCACTTTCATTTCATATGGACTAAGAATTCGATAAATGTATTTTGAGAGTTTGTATGTTGGAGAGTTAGTAAAATCCACTACTGGACGTAATGGTACTTCTGGTTTGTGTATTTTTGGTAACCCATAAAATCTACAGGGGCTGCAACTTTTTGGAGCCAGAGTAAACCAAAGTGATACACCGAGCTTTTCTTTTATTGACTGTAGCATTTTGCTTGTTTCAGCCTTCAGCTTATTTAATGTCGCTCTTGATTTATTCGCGTTGAATTTTTCATAAGGTCCATCATTAAGATGATCAATGGCCTTCTTTTCGTAATCTGTAGAGTTCATGACAACTGTGATATTGCCTTTATCTGCTCTTGTAATTACAATTGACTTATCTTGCTGTAGTTGTCTTAATACCATTTGCTCCTTTTTATTTATATTCGGCGCATTTGGCTTCTGGTTCAGTAGTACTGCTGCAATTTTGTGTCTAATGACGTTTGCCTCTTCGGCTGTCACTGACTTTAACGATGGTTCAATTGCTGGGACTACTTCAAAGGCTGATAAACGCCTTTTGTTTAAATTGAAATTAAGTCCCTTTTTAAGGAGGGATAGTTCATCATCTGATAAATTTCTGTCAGAGAGATTGACCACCACTTTGTTCGCATCCAGACAGTTACGACTAGACGGATTTTCAAATTGATGGTTTTTAGGATTATTGCTTAATTGAAGCAACCTATCGAACTTTCTGATTTGTCTTCTTTTTGAAGATTGAAGATAAAATTCTTCTTTAAATTTAAAAATGTTATCAATGAGCGAAATTGAAATTTCGCTGAGATTTTACAAATATAACTTTATAAATGTCTACTTCTCACTCAGCGCTCAATTATTTTGCAACTATCCGATCAAATCTTGATCACAGTTGAAAATACGATGATTGTACCACTTACACATTTTCTTTGTTAGTTTAATACGATTGCAAAATAATTCATACGAACTGTGATCAAGATTTGATCGGATAGTTGCAAAATAATTGAGCGCTGAGTGAGAAGTAGACATTTATAAAGTTATATTTGTAAAATCTCAGCGAAATTTCAATTTCGCTCATTGATAACATTTTTAAATTTAAAGAAGAATTTTATCTTCAATCTTCAAAAAAGAAGACAAATCAGAAAGTTCGATAGGTTGCTTCAATTAAGCAATAATCCTAAAAACCATCAATTTGAAAATCCGTCTAGTCGTAACTGTCTGGATGCGAACAAAGTGGTGGTCAATCTCTCTGACAGAAATTTATCAGATGATGAACTATCCCTCCTTAAAAAGGGACTTAATTTCAATTTAAACAAAAGGCGTTTATCAGCCTTTGAAGTAGTCCCAGCAATTGAACCATCGTTAAAGTCAGTGACAGCCGAAGAGGCAAACGTCATTAGACACAAAATTGCAGCAGTACTACTGAACCAGAAGCCAAATGCGCCGAATATAAATAAAAAGGAGCAAATGGTATTAAGACAACTACAGCAAGATAAGTCAATTGTAATTACAAGAGCAGATAAAGGCAATATCACAGTTGTCATGAACTCTACAGATTACGAAAAGAAGGCCATTGATCATCTTAATGATGGACCTTATGAAAAATTCAACGCGAATAAATCAAGAGCGACATTAAATAAGCTGAAGGCTGAAACAAGCAAAATGCTACAGTCAATAAAAGAAAAGCTCGGTGTATCACTTTGGTTTACTCTGGCTCCAAAAAGTTGCAGCCCCTGTAGATTTTATGGGTTACCAAAAATACACAAACCAGAAGTACCATTACGTCCAGTAGTGGATTTTACTAACTCTCCAACATACAAACTCTCAAAATACATTTATCGAATTCTTAGTCCATATGAAATGAAAGTGGAACATGGAGTGAAAAATTCGTATGAATTTAAGGGGAAAATAAATTTGACTAATATTGAAGAAGATGAAATAATGGCAAGTTTCGATGTTTATTCATTATTCACGAATGTACCCGTTAATGATTCTTTAAGTATTATTTATAATTTACTTTGTGCTGACGACGAACTCAGTGATCGTTGTCCTTTAAATCCCGACGAAATTATGAAGGTATTAGAATTGTGTCTTAGATCCACGTTATTTAAAAAAAAAAAAAAAAAAAAAAAAAAAAAAAAAAAAAAAAAAAAAAAAAAAAAAGTATCTCCGCTAGTCGCCAATCTGTTTATGCACTCATTAGAAACAAATGCAATTATGAGATGCCTTAGTCCCCCAAAGATGTGGTTAAGATACGTAGATGATACCTTCATCATAATCAAACGTAGTTTGTTAAATGAACTTTTTCAGTTAATAAACAATATGTCAGAAACCATCAAGTTCTCCAAAGAGGTTGAATCCGATGAAAATGAGTTGGCGTTTCTGGACTGTTTAGTAAAAAGAAAATTAGACGGCAAATTTAAAATAAACATTTTCAGAAAGCCGACAAATTCGGATAGATACCTAGATTACCATTCAGCTCACCCATTTACCACCAAAGTAACTGTGGCCAAGAATCTGATCAACAGAGCCAAACGTCTAGTTACTGAGGAGGAAGATATTAACGAGGAACTAAAATTAGTTCAATCCACTCTTGAGTCAAATAATTATCCTAAAGCCTTCATAAAAAGATACTTAAAATGTGAAGTTAAGGATGAATCAAAACCTGCTGCTAAGAATTGGGTTAGTACAGCGGTGGTTCCTTACCGCAAAGAAACGTCCGATGAAATAAAGCGAATCCTTAACGAACATAACATAAGAGTGTACTTTCGTGCATCTAACACCTTACGTTCATTGCTGGTGAAGGTTAAGGATAAAATAGAACAAGAAAACCAGCAGAATTGCGTATACCAGATCAATTGTGGGGATTGTAACGCAGTATATGTAGGAGAAACTTCTAGACAGGTAAATATAAGAATGAAAGAGCATAAACAATGTCTAAAGGTGGTTCCAAAGAGCTCTGCAGACTTGAAGAAGCTAGAAAACAACTCAGCGATTGCGCTACATTCAATAGAAACAGGACACAAAATCGACTTTGATAAGACTAAGGTTTTACAAAAAGGTTTTGGCTCATATCAAGAAAGACTAACTACAGAAGCCCTACATATATGGGTGAATCCCAACAGTTTAAACAGACGTGAAGGTGTGATGTTAGCCGATGCATGGCAAATCCTGACTAATAAACAAAGTAAAATTTGATATGTATGATCAAGTAGTCACACTTAGTCAAATTCCCGACTGTCTACGTCTTCTTATGGAGAGAATAACAAATCTATAAAAATTAAATTATGTTTATAAAAATGTCAATTTTTTGTATCTATCCGGTCAAATCTTGATCACAGCTCATATGAGAATAGCAAATGTTTTATGACTGTTCCACCCACACACACCATTGTATCCTGCATATACTGCATACACACATATATTTTAACAAAAGTAGACAAATTTTGAAAGTCTGAGGTCAAAAAATTTTTGATCACAGTTCATACAATTTTTGTTTTGTTTTGTTTAATATACCCATTAATTGTACTTTTATATAAACATACAATTCTATTTATTTATTTATGATACTTGTTGATACCTGTTGCATGACTGATGATTGGACAAGAATTTTAAAAACAAGATGTGTCCCTTTATATATAAACTTTGTTATGTTAATTTCGATTAATTTCCCTGAAGAAGTTCGGACCAGATTGCCGAACGAAACGTTGGAATTAATCATTTCAATTTCGCTGAGATTTTACAAATATAACTTTATAAATGTCTACTTCTCACTCAGCGCTCAATTATTTTGCAACTATCCGATCAAATCTTGATCACAGTTCGTATGAATGTGTATTCTCCTCATATTATATTATATATAATATGAGTGTTTGTTGGCAGTCCGTTGCTTGGTGACATATATCCATATATGGTTGTTGTTGACATGTCTGCTATATATTTTGCTATATATATATTTCGTTCACACAATTTGTGTGAACTACTTTACTTTGCTTACTTACCACTTTGGTGTGAGACCATTTATTTTCGTCTCCTTGTGTTTGGACAATAGAAGTATCATCGCAAACCTAGTGGTCTTCTGATTTCCGCCTTCTTTCGTCAGGACTATTAGTTTCTCGACCAGTCCATAACAATAATTTAGCGACGAGTACATAACAATTTGGCGACGGGGAAACTAGTACATAACATAAGCCTGGAAAAGAAGGGAGACTGAAGTCCTCTTTTTCACTCTCGGAATGCAAAATAGTTAACACGTTTGGTATGATGATGAATCAAATTGACAGTCAGTCTATCGAACTATCGATCAATTACTTTATTCTTCTACATTATTTTAATGAATAAGAAACTATGTTGAGTGGATGCTACACGACGATATATATATATATATAATACTTAAGCAAAAACTATGCGAAAGACAATTATCTATATAGTTTTATAGCTCTGCTAGATATGTTTGAAATCCTATAAGGAATCCAAGCTTTTCTTTGAATTCTAATCATATTTTCCTCTCCTGATGATTTTTGTTAAATTCAAATATACATTTTCAACCCTATAATTTCACTTGAAAGTGTTATACTAATTGAATAAGTAAAACCTTTTATATATAAATTTATCTCTCTTTGTTTATAAAACAAAAGATGATGATGATGGTATATTTCAATGTTTATTATTGATATTTATTTCAGTGAAAGAAATAGTCCCAAATGTTATTGAGCCTTCATTTGGAATTGGTCGAATCTTATATACCATATTTGAACATTCTTTCCGTGTACGAGAAGGTGATGAACAACGAACTGTGAGTTCTAAATTGAAATTATATATATATATATATATATATATATATATATATATATATATATATATATATATATATATATATATATATATATATATATGATTATGCTGTGAATTTAATTTGCATTCCTTTACGTTCCTAGTGTGACTTAAGGCTTCAAGCATTGTAATTTGAAGTTTCAGCAGTGATGTTATTTTTTCTGCTATCTAGGGTGTCCCCAACCTGAAGCCTCACAATCTCTCTTTTCCTGGTTTGCTAACTTCCTGTGGTAAACTAGGTGAGGTTTAGGATTGTGTCGTTTGGGAATCGAACCAGAGTCGCATGCGTGGTTAGCGAGTATTTTAGCTTTGAACCGCTAACGCATAAGACACACACACACGTCGCAGAGGATAGAGGCTTCAAAACTACTGCTGATTATAGCATTGAAACTAAGTGCCATCCTGACATTAACATCGATGAAGTTTATTCCATCCAATTAAAACTTTGGCAGAAATTCTTCCACACACTATAACGTTCGTGTCAGCCTAAAATAGATAAGAAGTATTGATTAGATGGCATGAAATTTCACTTATTATTATTATTATTGTTCCCTTGGGTTCCTAGTGGAACATAGGGCTTCAACTGCACGTCTCCACTTGCACTGATGTCCCACTCGCCGCTTCCCTTCCGGCCTGGTTCCACTCGAGCAATGGGCTGACGTGCGCGCGATGTCACCCAGCGCCCTCCTCAGCGAGTGAGTGTCCAATCCATCTCCACTTTCTCCTGCATATTTGTTGGTTGGTGATTGGTTCTTGTTTCGTTTGTTCCCGTAGTTTCTTGTTGGTGATTCTTTCCGGCCCGGCCATCTGATCTTCCGTATAGAGCCAGCGAAGACAGTTGTTGGTTGATAAAGGTCTAGTCTGCAACAGGCTGTTGGAGATATTCTTTGTGACCCGCCCTCCAAGTTTCTGATCCGTATAGAAGAACTGACTGACTTGACGTTTGTATTGAAAATCCGAGCGAATTTTGTTATTGATACTGGCTGAGTGACGAAGATTTCCAGATTGGTTTCAGGTTGATGAGTATTTTTCTTGCCTTCTCGATAACATAACAACCTGTCTCACAGTTACTGGTACATAGTGAAAGAGAATAAGTACAAGTGAAGTAGTTGTTCAATTTCCTAATAAGTCATTCAGTAGTAGTTGCCACAAACAAAGTGGATTGGTTAATTGTTTACATTATTTCACATTTCTTGTTGATTAATCCTGTTACATCAAAATGCTCGATCTCTGTGAACATGTTGAATCCTAATACGGACGGCTAGGCGATGATGTCATTTAAATTATAGTGGCTTGCATTTGAATCCAGGATACACATTTCCATTTCTGTTTGGAATTCATCAGTTCAATGTGCTTACATTCCCAGTGGATGATCCTACTCTATTCCTCTTGCAACTCAAAACGCAGTGCCCATCGTTTCAAATCTGTTAAGATCAGGAAAAGTTTGCTGAATTTATAAATATTCTCCTACTTCGAGTTAATTCATCCCCTACTGCCTGATGATCTTATAAGTCAGTGTCATTTACACACATGTGTATAGGAAATTGAAACGAGTAGCTTTGTCGACTTCGTAAATCTTTGAATTCTAGATTGCGTCCTTCTTCCCAATAGGGATTAATCAGTCGAATATAATTGTGCTTCTGTTAGAAATCTCAGTCCATAAGTCACTGCTTGGTAAAATAACAATTCCACCGACGCCTAAATTGGTGTTGAAAACTCTAAAAAAATTTCGAAATACAATATAACAAATAAATATTATCAAGAGTGTTGATTTGTTAAGATTAGATTTATTTTTTCGAATTCGAAGACGGATTGATATCAGTGAGAGAGCCATTGAAAATCACGAATAGGTAGAAGTTAGAATTCATGGGTGTCCATTGAATCGAGTAGCAGTGGCTGATTGGTATACGAGCTTGCCTTGTAACAAGGAGCTCCTGGGTTCGAACCCTTGTGGTGGGTGCGTACTGCCGATGATTCCCAAACTAGTAGGAAACGGCTGTCCAGAACTCTCTGGTTTTCAATCGTTTTCTAACTGATATCAATACTTGATCAAACTCGAAAAGTAAATATTACCCTGTTTTGAGTCTTCTAATTTTATGGATTTGTTTGAACTTTTTGTTTTATTCTCTTGAGATTTGGATAAAAACCTAAATAAAAATCTGATTTTAGCAATATTCAATTTCATGGTAAATTTTGCCTCTCTCCTAAAGGTATGTTTCTCTTGTCTTCATAGAAGTGGAATACATTAAAAGTAATTTCTTTGATTGGACACTAGTAACTGCTGTAATGTATTTAGTCCTTTCTTTGGTGTAGACTGAATTCTATCAGTCAGGTTTGCAATGTGACCAGCATTCTAAGTAGCTCACCATCACAGTGCACATTGATTTGATGATACTGGGGATGATTGAAGGCAATCGGCACGAAGCCCCTTGAACCTAGACACATCATACTAATTATTAATGTCCAACCAAAGTATCCAATACAGTCCTACAGGAAGGACCCCGAATAGCCCAGTAGTAACATCTCTGACTGCAGCGCTGGGTGATGTGAGTTCGAATCTCAGAAGGGACGTGAGTTCCTTCAAGGTTGCAGATACGCCTTTCTGACTGGTGATTGCCAACTGGCACGAAACCTTGGTCCAAGACTTCATGCTGATCGCCTCAAACTGTCTAATATCATCAGAAGTAATTTCCACTTGGAAAGAGAATATAGTCGTTGTATGTCATCGTCAGTAAAAAATAGTAGTAAAAATTAATTATTATCAGTACTATTATTATTGTGAAATTCTTCCCTTAATTTCCCCCTAAATTGGTTTTCAAATAGTAGTATTGTAGACTTTTAACATTGTGTAAAATTTTCATGTCATGCATTTTACACTTATGGTTAGTAGGTGTCATGAGTGCTTAATAAACACTTAAATATGTACTTTTCTTGTGATTGTTTCGTCATGTGACGTGTAATCTACTGGCTTGTTATTACCTATTTCTTATGGAAAAGGAAGTTTATACTTTTTTGCCTACTTTAGAAATATAAATGCTAGGCATACTTTTTTTCTTCTTTTCACTTGTCTTGTCTACACAACAATCTACATGTTGCTTTTAAAAAAAATATTTCTTAAAGTTAACTATTTAACACGAATAAAGAATACTATGTTGCTGTGGTTTGATAAAATTGAAAGACAGGACAGGACAGGACACAACATCACATTTCTTCTTTTATAAAGCTTCTTTCCTAACTGTTCTATTGATTATGATACTGTGTGTCTTTGACCTTGACCCATGTTCATTCATCAAACATTTTCAAAATGGCATTTAGCATTTCATCTATCGTATAGATAGTTCAACAGCATCTACTTTTCAATATTCTAAAGGGGATGTATTTTATGAAGATGTTAAAAGATGCGTCTCCTTACCAATTCCTTTGTTTTCGTTGAATGTTGATAGTATAAATCAGTATATATATATATATATATATTATTACTGATTGACATAAGTAGTTTGAAACTACTAACTAACAAATAATGCTCACTGCTGTCTTAGTTTATTAGGGAGTCTACCTCACCAATTATGCGTCTCGAGATTCCTTTAACTCGGAGAATTATGCTAGTCCTAGCTACTTATATCAGTTAATAGTATAATTTGTAGTAGCAATTAGATCACATATTGTGTAATATGATTATTTTAATTTTAGATTTTCCCGTCGACTGATTGGACCTAAGTGCTCAGTCTCAGGTTGACATGTCGGCTTCTTGTGCAGATGCTTCGACGATGTCTGGGCATTTAATTAGTATTTAATTGGTGGATGGTGACTAGCAGTGGAATCCAGGATGCGCATTTCGTCCTATTTGGGACTCGTCGGTCCAATCAATTTACGGGAAAATCTAAAATTCAATTAAATAATTAGTATGACCCGTTGCACAAGAGGTGGCTGTCGTAGCCCAAGTGTTCTGATGGATAACGTTTGGGCGTTTAAAACTATGGGCACTGGGTTCGAGCCTCGGAGGGAACATCATCACTCACTGGGAAATGCAGGCACATCCAGATAACGAGTCCCAAATAGGACGAAATGCGTATCCTGGATTTCACTGCTAGTCACCATCCACCAAATTTCACCGTGATCTGTTTACTTAACCAACAACTTAAAGTAGTTTAATCATAGTTTGTATTTATTATAAGTATATGGAGGCAGTACTGACTAGTAGGACCTCTTCAACAAGTTGCTGACTTTTATCAACAATTGCGCTCACCGACTCCATATTGAAGTTCAAATGATCAGAAAGAAATAACACCAAAAAGCGACGGAAACAAACCAACCAACAATCTGTTGGTCAGTAAATATGCAGAAGAAATTGGAGATGGGTCGGACACTTTCTGAGGAGACCGTTGGAGGACATCGCGCACCAGGCTATCGCTCAGGTGGAACTCGAACAGGAAACGACGTATTGGGCGTCCGAGGGTGACATGGAAGAAATGAGAGACTGTGAGCACTCATGGAACCAGATTAAGAGGTAAAAGCGGAGATATGCTGTTGGAGCCCTATGTTCAACTCGTAGGTCAACGGAATAATAACACTGATAGAATCTACAAATATATATATTGTATTGAAATCAAACAGTGTGTTTGAAAGTGTCTCAAAGTTGATGTAAATTACTTAAACAGTTGTTCCGTTTGATAAATTAAAATGAGGTGTTACAAAGATAATTATCGCGAGGTGATATCTTCATTTCGTAGTTTCTTTACAATCGCCTCACAACATGAAATGTATGACAATTACTCAGTTATATAAATCAAAAGTACATACTAATACCAAATCATATCTAAATAGGTCAAGTAGTTTATAGTAGGCAAAAGTTGAAGTTTGTTGGTTTTTGAACACATAGTTTGGGATGCATGCGATTGATCCAAAGTGCTTCCATCACCTTCACTATCTTTGAATTAGAGTTATGTGAAATAATTTTCAAGC